GATTTGTTAATTGATACAATTCAAAAACAAAATCAGATTCGTCAACTCAGTACAATTCCTAGGAATGGGGGTGGAGCCGCACCTGTGGCACAGCGTAGAAGCATCGGCAGCGTTGCTGTCGCGATCGGCCCGGAGAATGTCGCAAATTAAAAAAAACGACACCTTCTAGTGTAGTTAAACAGTTTCTTGGCACCGGAAAAAGGCCTTTTGTTATTGTCATTATTTTCATCACTATCATCATCACCATCACATTATTCTTATTATTACCATTATTATTATTATTATTATTATTATTTATTATTATTATTATTAATTAATATTTATTATTATTCATTATTGTTATTATTCTCATTATTACTATTATAATTGTAATTATCATCATCACTATCGTCATTACTATTATCATCATTATTAGTATCACTTTTATTATAATTATTGTCGTTATCATCACAATTATCATCATCATCATCATTACGATTATTATAATTGTTGATGCTGTTGTTATTGTTTTGGATATAATTATTATTATCATTATTATTATTATTATTATTATTATTATTGTTGTTGTTGTTGTTGTTGTTGTTGCTGTTGTTGTTATTACTAGTATTATCATTATCATTGTTATTATTATTATTATTATTATTATTATTATTATTATTATTATTATTATTATTATTATCATCATCATTATTATTATTTTCATTACTATCGTTATCATTTCATCATTATTAACACTGTTATTGAACCGAGTGCACTACGACAAATGCAGAAAAGGAATGAATGAGAATGAATATCCTCACATTGCAGAAGATCTCTTAAACCGGTTTCGAATACATAGCCGTATTTCTGACGAAGATATAATCGAGACCGGTTAAATACATCTCTCCGTATCATTTGTACCTTTTTTATATATAACTATTATTATCATTATCATTTATGTTGTTGATGTTATCATTATTATCAGTGATATTTTCCTCCTCCTCATTATTATTTTTGTTTTTATCATTATGATCATTGTCATTATCATCATCATCATCATTATCACGATTTTTGTCATCGTTATTGTTATCATTACTATCATCATCATCATTATCATTATAATTTTATTATTACCATTGTGATTATCACTAATATTACCATTACTACTACTACTACTATAATCATCATTATTATCATTACCATTATTGCTATTCTTTCATTTATCGTTATCATTATTATAACTAACACCATAGTATCATCATTATCTTAATCAATTAATCAATTTCAATTCCTTAATCGGCATTTTCATAGCCAAAGATTTCTTCATTTTCTTGATTTAGGAAGGAAAAAAACTATATTTTTTATTCAATTTTTATTGCAACATTTTGCCATTAGTATTTATTCGCTCCTGTCGAGTTATTTGCGTAAAACTTTCACTCTGTAAATGCTAATTGTTTAACACGGAATGCCATTAGTTTCATAAAAGATAGAATTGCGTAAGATGTCATATGCGTAAAATATTGTCCGTGAAATTATGAACAGATGATACAACAAAGAACAATTATATGCGATAATAATATGAAATTAATTGAAACAGGACATAACTGGTATCTGAATGTAATATGAAAAGATTTTCCTTAAGTACATGAATACTGTACTGGCGTAAATACTGGGCAAAGATAAGTTTAGTAATAAACTCTTAGAATAGTAATAATGCGAAGTAACTTTTGTTATACACACACAGAGACACTCACACGTGCATGCAGGTACTTAGAAATTATTTCCACTTGAGATCACAGAATATTTAGTGACGTAAAAAATGTAATATGAAATATGTGTCTTTCAGAAAACACGTGCATATCAATGTTTCAGACTGAACATGACATGATTATAAACATCTGACAGATCTACAGTACTAAATACGACGTAATTTCGAGTATTTACTATATGTTACATAATGTGAAGTATCTGACATTCACTGACTGAATATAATTCATTTTTCAAGTATATGACAGGTTCAAAGGCACTTACGTTGAGGCATTTCATATTTCCTTACACAAAAGGAAGACGTGTGAAGTAGGAAATAGTAAGAACTTATAAATCTAAATATATTAGTAAAGCTTGAGTAGAAATGAGCACCTATCGTTTCTTTTATGCAACGAAATGTATATACAATGACCTTAAATAAATGCTAACGGACGCTCCCGTACTAAGCTACTATCATGTATAAGCAAAATCTTTCGATAACTGATTTTCAATACATTACACGTATGACATTTACTGAAGAAAAGGGGATAAAATGAGACGAAGCCGCAACAGACACGGAAATCTTCACGTTTCGAACCAATGGGACTTTCTCCATCGGGCGAAGGAATTACCGGGTTTTGTTGTTGTTGTTGTTGCTGTTGTTGTTTGTTGTTGATGATGTTGTTATTGTTGTTGATGTTGATTTTTTGTTGTTTTGCTGTTGTTGTTGTTTGCTATTGTTGTTGTTTGATGATGATGTTATTGTTGTTGTTGTTGTTGTTGTTGTTGCTGTTGTTGCCTGTTTGTTTATGAGGCCGTGCTTCATTTCATCTGTGCGTATACTTTGTTTTTCACAGAACAAAAGTGGGAGAAATAGGAGGACCTTTATGGCACTTTGGTTTCTTTGCCGTTCGGTATCGCCTTCACGCCATTCTCGACAGCCCCGAGCGCCTCCAGGGACAGGCTCTCCTTCGGATCGCCTTTGGCCTCCTTCGGGTCACCCTTGACGTCCTTCAGGTCCCCCTTGCCCTCCTTCCCGTCCCCCTTGCCCTCCTTCGCGTTCCCTTCTTCGGTTTCCTCGGCCTTCTTCTGCTCCTTCTTCTCTGCTCGCCGCTGGTTCTGGAGCTTTCTGAAGAAGATGTGGTTGACGATGAAGTAGGTGATGCAAGTGACGGCGCACAGGATGCCCATGAGCCTGAAGGTGTTGCGGATGCCCAGGGGACCGATCATGAATCCGCCGAGGAGGCTGCCCAGTCCGCGTCCTGGGGAGAGGGAAGGGTGGGTGGGGGGGGTTATTTTCAGGTTGTTGGTGGATTATGATATTTCTAATGCTTACACACACGCACACACACACACACACACACACACACACACACACACACACACACACACACACACACACACACACACACACACACACACATACATTTACAGGCCCATACGTTTCACGCTTTTTAGTTATCTTTTCCTTGTATCAGTCGCGTCTTCCCCTTCCCACCAAATCATCACATTTCCTCCTTCTCCCCATAGAAATCTTCATCTCTTCCTCCTCTTCTTCTGCCCTTCCCCCTCTTACGCTCACATCCCTCCCCACCCACACCCAACCCCACCACCCATCCTCCGATACTACACATTCCTGTTTCCATTCTCTCTGCCATACTTTCTCGCTCTTCCTCTTTTCTTCTCTCTTCCTTACGCCCTTTTACGCTCCCCCCCTCTCTCTCTCTCTCCCCTTACTCCCTTTTTCGTTTCTACCTCTCTCTTCCTTTCCTTCTCTCTTCTGTCTCTTACTCACTCTCCTCTTACCTTTTTTCCCCTTTCTCTCTCTTCCTCTCTCCTACCTTTTTCCGCCCTTTCTCTCTCTTCCTCTCCTTCTCTCTCTCCCTCTCTCTTCCTTTCTCTTTCTCTCTATTCCAATCCTTCTCTCTCTCCCTCTCTCTTCCTCTCTCCTTCTCTCCCTCTCTCTCTTTCTCTCTCCCTCTCTCTTTCTCTCTCTTCTCTCTTCTCTCTCATCCTCTCTCCTTCCCTCTCTCCCCCTCTCTCTCCTTCCCTCTCTCCTTCTCTTCTTCTCTTCTCCCTCTCCTTCCTCCTCTTTCCCTCCTCCCTTTCCCTCTCTTCTCTCCCTTCTTTCTCTCTCTTCCTCTCTCCTCCCCCCACCCTCTCTCCTTCTCTCTTTTTCTCTCTCTCCCTCTCTCTTTCTCTCTCTCTTCTCTCTCTCTTTCTCTCTCTCCCTCTCCCTCTCCTCTCTCTCCTTCTCTCCCTCCCTCCTCTTCTTCGCTCCCTCCTCTCTCCTTCTCTCGCTTCTTCTCTTCCTCTCTTCCTCTCTCTCTCTCTTCCACTCCTTTCTCTCTCCCTCCCTCACTCCTTCTCGCTCTCTCTCTCTCCTTCTCTTCTCTCACTTCCATCCTCTTCTCTCCCTCCCTCCCTCCTTCTTTCCTCTTCCTCTCCCCTTCTTCTCCCCCCTCTGTTCCTTCTCTCCTTCTCTCACTCCTCCACCCTTCTCTCTCTCTTTTCCTCCTTTCCCCTCCCTCTGCCTCCTTTTTCTCTCTCACCTCTCTCCTTCTCTCCCTAAACCTACTCTCTTCCTTTCTCCTCCCCTCTTCTTTCCTTCTCTCCCTCCCTCTTCTCCTTCCTCCTTCTCCTGTCTCTCCCTCCCTCTTCTCCGTTCTTTCTCTCTTCCTTCTCNAAAGACCAAAAGAAGAGGTAGAGGAAGAAGAAGAAAAAGGAGAGAGAGCTAGAGGGGGAGAAAGGAGAAAACAAGATAAAAAGAGGAGGAGGAGGAGGAGGAGGAGGAGGAGGAAAGACTAAAAGAGGGAGAGGGGGAGGAGGAGGAGGAGGAGTAAAGACAAAAAGAGGAGGAGGAGGAGGAGAAAAGACTAAAAGAGGAGGAGGAGGAGGAAAGACAAAAAGAGGATCTGTAAAACATCTTAAACCACTTCTTTAACACCATATTGAAATGAACCTTTTCAGGACCCTTCATGTTGTGTAATGGATGAATAAATGGATAAAAAGATGGTGATGGTGAACAAATACACACAAGAGGAACAGCTACTTCATAAAGTCCTGTGTGTGTGTCAACTGCTAATAATGTAAGCCCTATAGAATTGACACTGGGGAAAAGAAGGCAGAAAAAAGTCATAAATCTTTTAAATAGAAAATTAACCTCCTTCTACAGTCAGCAGTAGACTTGTAGGGATTCCATTAGTACATAAACAGCATAGGATAAACAAAACTTCCACAAAGGATATCCTTCTCTGTAGTTGGGTGGAGGGGTGGAGTTTACAGATTGCAAATAACAGCACCCAAAGAAACTAATCATAAACCTTTTACTATCAGCAAAAGACAAAAACAAAGGATGTATTATTGCATCTTTGAATGGTATTAGAAATCAATTTGATGTAGCAATTCTGGTTGCATGTACAGAAACCCCAAAAGGATGTGCATCCACGTTACATGCTTGTCCTACAGGACAAAACAAAATGACTGCCGTGTTTTCAAGTCACATAACATAGACTTTGATCTGCTTATTGTAAAAATACTACCTTTCTGTGGGTTGGTTGATTTAATGATATAATTGCATTGCATTGCTGAACGTAATGCTTCAGATGATATGGGACATGTCCTTTAAGGGATAAAAAAGTCAAAGGGGGTTAAAACATCAAAAACTCATTCTGCTTCATAGATTCCCTATATATAAAGGAAGGCAGGTGACCAAGAAAGCAAGCAAGCCCTAGAGCAAGCAACCAGCACTGACCTCTCCCTTGGCGGCATCTTTGAAGGTTTAGGCTCCTGTCGCTGCAGTGGAGGAGGAGGCTGAGGTCTGAGGGAGGGAGAGAAGAGGGTGACAGCTTAAGGCAGGACCACTACATAGCACCCAGCATCACCAGAGCAACTCTAGGAAAGAGCCAGCAAGGAAGGGGGCCAGGGAGGAAGAATATGGAAAGGTAGGGAGAGAGGAGGAGGGGGAGGTGGTGGTGGGAGTGAGAAGGAGGAGGAGGGGGAGGGAGTGAGAGAGGGGAGGAGAGAGAGAGGAGGA